ATATACATATAGTAATCTTACCGTGAATTGGAAAGGAAAAAAAACAAAAAACAAAACATTGACACAGAAGCTAGAATAGGTGTGGTATGTGTCGAGTATGTGTCATTATTACATTATTATTATTATTATTATTATTATTATTATTATTATTATTATTATTATTATTATTATTATTATTATTATGCATGCTAGTACTACTTGAATACTACTACTATTATTGTCAGATGGTCATCACTGTTTATTTTCATTGCTGTTATTATCATTGCTGTTCTATTGCTGTTTTTGTGTTTTGTGTTCACCGTATGTTGTATGTTTTGCACTCTTAATAAAAAAAAGAAAAAAAAAGAGGACAGTGGGTTTTTTTTTATGTGTGTGTGTGATTGTTTGCTTGTTTTGTTTTTATAATAAATAAAAACAAAACAAGTTTGAATAGAAAAAGTGTTAGAATGCTAGTGTTCTATGCTGTGTTATGCTAGTGTTAGAAGGTCATTATTTATAATAAATAAAAAGAAAATAAGTAGAAACCTGATCTCGTTGACAAATATCTGATCTTGTAAGATGTGCTCCCTTTACACAGAGTGAGTGTGATCGCGAAATCGAAAGTGAAAGTGAACAGCGCAAACGCTCATTCAAAAATATTTAAATACACCGCATCCTGAGAGCGGCTCCCTGATGCGCCAAAATTATGTACAATATTAGAATGTTTAAAGGAGTGGAGGACATGAAAATCGCGGGAGCGAAACACATGTTGCGGGAGCAGGCAGCAATGGTCAGAGATTCAGCGGGAGTGGGATTAAGAAAACAGCCGAATCCCGGACATTTTGGGCAATTAAGAAATCCCCGTTTCGCTGCTAGTGTCCGCACTGAGGCCGTAACAATTAGCATGTTCAGTCTGCCCCTGTCTGTCACTACAATCATCTCCAATATTTTGTTTATTCTGATTTGTAAGAACCCAGTTCGTAAGGCAAATTTTCATTCTTTTAACGTCTTCATCTCTAGTTTTTTTACGTTTTGGCTTTTGTGCTCCTGACAGGTGTTTCTTTTGTAACCCTGGGTTAATTTATTATTAATATTAGCATTTATTTACATTTATTTATTTACTTATTTTTTCCCTTGTGACAGAAGTGTTTCTATATTTTTTTTATATAAAAAATGTACCTGTTCAGAAATGTCTGTGTCAAGAAGTTGTGTTTGATTTAATGTTATTGGTTGAAAAGTGACTTAATCCCGCCTAATGTCAAGTAGGGCAACTGTGATTGGCCACCGAAAATGTCAGTCGGGGGTGTGAGAGACGAGTTGGAAAAAGGAAGTGCGTAGGTGATGTTGTCGGCATGATAACAGAAAATGCATCACTTTATTTTGTGATAAACATAGTCAGAACTGTATCGTTTAAGTGTTAACTAGCATATTATTCTATTGTGAAGTCAACACGACGCCACAAAGAAGTCAACGCGACGCGATTCGGAAGAAATGCGGGTTTTATGCTTGATCGCCATTACAGTAAACGGGACTAACGTGAATCGCTGGTGAGAAACTTAAATCAAGTTTATCATTTAAATCAGCGACTGTAAGAGAGCTAGAGGTGATCAGAGTGATTGCCACAGACTGTTGTTGCATCGACTGTGAAGTGCATTGAGGAAATCCAGATAGTGCTCCTAATCGCAGAGTGGTTAGGGGTTCCTCTGGCATCGCGGGAGTTTCACGGTGTTTGCCGACCGATCACCGCCTCACGTGGACTGATCTGACGGGTGACGGGATCCTTGAACTCTTTCAAGTTCATTCAGGTGCATTTTGTTTGTTTTATTTGTGCTCTTCGAGAGCGAAGCGGCCATTTTAGGTTTCACTTGGCCTCAACGCACACCAGCGACGTTTCAGGCCTGCTACGGGGTGTGTGTGTGTGTAAGTGAGTGAGTGTGGTGGGCCCACATTAAGCTGTTTTTCTATTTTTGAACCATATAGTGGTTCAATACTCTGACTCATTGAAAGTATGTCAGTAAAGGGTTACATTGGTATTTCTAACTAAATCTAAAGTTTGTTTACTTACTGTATTTATATTTTAAGTTTTCCAAAGGACACTGATATATTGGTTTACACTGATTGGTGACAAATTTATACTTCCGAAGGGAAAGAACTAAGGTTTAATTGGGAAGAGTGATTCAGTGAAAAACTCTTATTTTGATATTTGTGTAAAAGTTTAACCCTTGAAGTGTGTTGTTGTCCAACAGGGGAAAAAGTCAAAGCAAGCACTGTATTTGAAGATAAAAGCTTATTTTTAAGTTGAGAGAACAGATTTTGATTCATCTTTGATTCCTTTTGTCTATTTTCTTTTAAATTAATTCATTGTATATTTCTGCTACATAGCGTGTCATTTTAAAAAAACTGATACGTAGATATATTTTTGGAAAGCAATTTACAGAGGTCAGCGTTGCACTTTGTAAGAAGTAGTATAAAAAAGCAGGGTCACATTTTGATTTTAAGTAAAATCACGTCGAGAGACACAATTAAACGAATCTGGGTTCTAGCGTCAACAATTCCAAAGTGTAGATACACCTAGGACTGAAGGGGGCGCTACACTTTCCATCAGTGTTATTTTTTGCGCAGTCGCCGGTTAACGTCATGCGCTGTATTTCGAAGTAACGAGAGCTTGCTCACGTTAATTTCTTACTTTCTATAATCTAATTTTTTATTTTATTTTACTGCTATTTATTAGTTAACGTGTTCTTGTATGTAAAAAATATATATTTTTAATTATTAAAAAAAAAAAAATTATCGACCAAAGTCCTGATTTGGGGCCCCCTAGCGTCCTGGGCCCATATGCCCAGCATACTCTGCATCCCCCATAACGGCGCCTCTGTGTACACTATTGTTCCCCCACCCCGCCTAACTTCTTTTGTACTTTTTGTTGCTGGTATGATGTTTCCCAACCCAACGTTTTTCATTCTTGTTAGAACCAGCAAATGGAATCAATTTAAATGCTCTGATAATAAGTAAATCCTGAGTTCTTTCCCTCAAAAATGTTAAACCTCTCTATGACCCACAGACTAAACTAGCAACTATCTTAGAATCTGGTAAACAATTGCAAGGTCATTGCACAATGACTTATAAGCAATTTCCACATCATAAAAACAGCTTAAAGATCTTGTATATTGGCATGATAAATAGCATCAGTAGCTATGACAGGTGGCTTGCTAGATCCTTCGGATTTGAGACTGGTGTCTGGCTAATAAATACCTTCAAAATACCCATCTGTTTGCCAAGGGAAATGCCAAGAAAGATCAGTTGCACTGGCGTACTCAATGAAACCACAGCATTTTTGGACAGTATTTGTTCAACAAGAAGGCCAACATGGGACAGCAACTCTGCCAGGAACGCTTGGGAACACTCCCGGGGATCTCAGGGGTCAAAATACCACGCTGTAGGGTTCCTAAATCTTTCTTGAGCAAGCTGCATCTTATTTCTTGCCAAACATGCATATACTGTATAATCTCTTGTATTACTTCCAAATTCCCATTTTTATCCTTTGTTCTCATTGTATGTTTCATCTCACTAAACTTGGCTCTGTTTTCTACTGCGTAAAAACATTCATACATACATCTCAGATTGGATTTTTTTCCCTCACTCAACCAAAAAGCTGCAAGCTGTTCTATTTGCATTAAAAGTGATAAGACATTCTAGAACTTCCAGAGCAGTGCAGGTTAAAGAACACAGGTTTTAAAGATGCAGTTTTAAAAGTTTGAACTTTAAATTTGACAGGTGTTTTAGAAATGTGACGCTCATGCGCAAGACAGTGACAAAGCACCGAGATGTGGCATAACGGTCAAATATATCAGTCTAACGCATATTTACAAGTGGAACACAAAAACACTGTGCCTGAATTTCGCCAACAATCCAGACATGCAGATTCTTTTTTAAAATTCCATCGCTCTGGTGTAACCTTTTTATATAGCAACATACAGTACTGAACTGAAAAATGGTCCAAAAAGTTCCTCTCACTGGTCATATGTCCCCCATTTTATGTGACAACATAGATGGTTGTGATATCTCAGAACAGTTATTTCAGTGAATGAGTGTAGGATCATTAGGATCAATAAATATTGCTTACAGCTTTTCTGAATTTATGCAAAATGATTTA